CTAAGGTCAGCCCACCAACTGATGAAATAGTATAAGCTCAATGGCCCAGATTGAATCTGGGCCGATCTGATGGTCATGACATTATTTCGGCAATATAATTTTAATATTTTTTATATAAATCCAATTAACATGAAACTTGGAGCATCAATTTCTCTCATCAAAGCGCACTTAATAAAAATATTAAAAAAATAATTCGCATAAAATAATTTGACCAATATACCTTTGAAGCATTTCAGGGGTATTTTGGTCAACTTATTTTTTGTGAGTTATGTTTTTAATATTTTTATGAGATTCCAATATTTTTGAAGAATAGATGTTTCACATTTCAAATGATTTGGATGTGTAGAAAAAAATTAAAATTCAATTACGAAATAGAACCGTGATCATTGGATCGGCCCAGATTCTTGGGCTTACACTGTTCCATCAATACATGGGCTGACAAAAAAAAATTTCCTATATATATATATATATTTGGACAATATGAAAAAAACAAAAGCTTCTCATATAAATTCACTGGGGATTTCATTAAGCATTGACAATTACAGACTTCACGTGAAATATAAACTACCTTCACGTGAAATATAAACTACCAAACTAACCTTACTAGTCTACAGAATTTTCAAGCAGTGAAATTTTAAGAAGTAATCTCCTTTTTCTAAAAGGAAGTCCTCTTAAGCTGAAGTGAGCTCCATCCAAGACATATTTATACATGTAAATGTCCCTAATATTCTTATAAGCTAAGTCAATTAGAAAGAATCCCATATCAAATAATATAACAAAAGAGAAATGAAAGAAATACATATAACTAATTACCAAAATCAAGACTCTAGCACTAGAGAGCATTTTGACATTATAATGTATTAAACTACGTCAAATTAACAATTGTAGCATTTAGTCAACTTTTAATCATACTTTATACAAAGTTGTAGGAGCCTTCCTAAACCCAGCTTGCCCAGCTTAACAAGAAGGAGATCAAGCATAAGCACACACTGCAAAGAGTACCTTAATCTGATAATCTTCGTATCTTGTAGCTTGATCCAGTCTCTAGCTGGAGGGAAGCTCATCAAATCATTGTAATCAACAACCAACTGCTATAAAAAGGACTAGCAATCAGACTAACAATCAACATAAAACAAATATCATAAACTATAACATCAAGGAATATCAAACTAAAGATCCCACCATGAACTCAATCACACATACAATTCCACACTATCAAACCAAATTCAAATGATACTCGAAGGAACACCAGAGGCACATGAAAGATTATTTATTTTCCTACTTAAAAAGCTCATTTTTATATTCATAAAAAAAATCCCAATAAATGCAGAACTTTAAATAAATGTATGGGATTTTTTCCAATGGAAAGGTATTAAGTTGCCATGAAGATGATCTTTTATTCTTTTTCTGAATGGTTCTTCACATGAACACGATCAGTAAATACCGTTATAACAAAATCCAAATTTTACGACTGCCAAAGTAAACTTTTAAGAGCTTACTTCTATGATGTCATCTTCTCCAACAACACCAAACGGTACTATAGTCGCACCAAATTTAGCGGCCATTCTGACAAATTCCAGACGCTCTGGCCAAAACAACTTGTATTCTTCACCCTTCATCCATCAAACACACCAAATCAGTTTAGAAAGCTAAGACACAGTGTAAGTTTGCCAAGAAACAAATGAAGCATATAGGGGTACAGGTGGAATATATCCAAGAAAAACACAAACATGGTTCATAGCCAACATTTACAATATGAAAGAACAGTCAGTAATGACATATTCAAAGAAATAAACAATAGTTGATACTTGCTATGCACCAATCATGAGTTGCAAGTTGACAAATATCCAATGGTTCCAAAAATACCCAACCATTGAACCGATATAATTGTGTGACAATGGTTAAAGAGGTTATTTTGAAGATACTGCATTTCAGATCATTTAATAACTGAGTAAAAAAATATTCACAAGCAATCTAAAATTCCAAGTCATTAGAAAATAATATTGCATTGGTTCATATGATATCAAGGTTCCGGGACTCGACTAGGCCAAGGTACTCACCCCTTGGCTGAGGCGAGTTACTCGGGCAAGTCTGGGTAACTCACTCGAGTCAAGCTTGAGTTCAAAAAAGAAAAGAAAAACGAAAAAACTAACTGATATAACATATCATATAGTTATTGCTTAGCGTAAGATTCAAAATGTCGCCTCGGATAGATGGTATGGGCCTCTTATAAGGGGTAAGGGGATCGAATCACCCCATGGACATTTTTAGTTTTGAACCACTTAAAATAAAACATACATGTATAGATCATACTGCCTATTACAACAAGCTTATAATGGCATCTTGGTAGACGTTGTGGGTTTTCAACATAAGGTTGAGGAATTGAACCACCAAAATCGTTATTATTTTATTTCTAAAATTTTATTTTTTAAAATTTAGAATCTAAATATTACATTTCAACTAATATCGTCATCATCTATTTGGGGCCTGCTCAAATTAACAAATCTCAAATTACAAGATTATACTTTTTAAAAAATATTACTTGCTTAAAAGAAAATTGCTTAGTTAGAAATCTACCATTATAGCACCTTCCAAAATTTTAGGCAATTTTAGATATGAATTTATTATTATAAAGTATGCTTAACAATTTAAGTAAATGTTGGAAAAAGGAGCAATATGACACATTTCAAAATGTTTGAATTTTTTTAATATGAAATTTTTGAATAATCAGATCAATATATAAAGTTAGCAATATTACATCTCTAATACATATTACTAAAGTTGTACATTAAAAATTCATACATTACACTGTTTCAAAGAAACTTATTTCATTTATATATTTAATAGAAATAATTTATAAAAAGATAAATCACATCCCATAGTAATAAAAATAGATTTATCTATCACTTATAATCTCATAGATTTATTTACAAAATGCAATCATTATTACTTTAATTAATATAACAATTTCAAATTACAAGATAATACTTTCAAAATAAATTAATGACTTAAAATAAATTTATTTAGTTACAAATCTATGGTGACACATTCGTAGGATTAGGATGTTGAAAGTGAAAGAAGCTTTGAAAATGATGAAGATAGAAAAGGCTTTAGGACAAGATGGTATCTCGATAGAGGTTTGGAAGTAAATGGGGGAGATTGGCATTGACTGGCTGATAAAATTGTTCAACAAGGTGTTGAGAACAAAGAAAATGTCAAACGAATGGCGGAAAAGTATTGTATTACCTATTTACAAAAACAAATGGGACATACAGAATCGAGCGAACTATCAATGGATCAAGCTTGTGAATCATACTGTGAAGCTCTGGGAGAGAGTGACTGAGCAACAACTAAAGCATGAAAAGAGTGTATCTAAAAACCAATTTAGTTTTACACCAGGAAGGTCAACAACTGAGGCTATTTTCCTATTTAGCCAACTAATTGAGAAGTTTAGGGTGAAAGGAAAAGACCTCCACATGGTCTTTATTGATCTATAGAAACCTTATGACAAAGTACCTCGATATTTGATTTGGCGGGTGTTGGAAAAGAAAGGAATCTCCAAACACTACATCGACTTAGTGAGATATGTACGATAGAGCGCTAACTAGTGTGCAAACAACTAGTGGAGAGACAAGTGAGTTTTCAGTGCCGATAGGTTTACATCAAGGGTCAGCATTGAGCCCGTACCTCTCTGCCTTAATTATGAACGAATTAACTAGGCACCTACAAGATGAGGTACCATGGTATATGTTGTTCGCAGATGACATAGTTTGATCGATGAGACCCAAAACGGCATCAACACAAAGTTAGAACTTTGGAGGGATGCCCTAGAATCCAAAGGTCTTAAAATTAGCCGGATTAAGACAGTATATGAAATGCAAGTTTAATAATATTAGGACTAAAGATGAGGTAGTTAAGATTGACGGCCAGGAAGCACAAGTATGAGGGGAAATCTTCGAAATATCTAAATTTTATGCCTCTATATGAATATCAATAGAGAGCTTTTGTAGATAACTCAAAGATCTACAAAATGTACCTAACATCACTCAAAAAGACAGGAATGAGGATGAAAATGAGGAAACGGGGGGCTGATTTCGGCCTCCACAAAACTCGAAAATATAGTAATCTTCCGATCGATTTTAGTGATTTTTCTGACCCTAACAGGAATCTATAAACTCCAATGTATATTCCCCTATGCATTATTTATGAAAAACATGCATTCTTACTTAAAAAAGCTGAAAAATGGCTGAATCTCTAATGCGTTTTACTAAAGTTGTACATTAAAATTTCAAACATTATACTGTTGCAAAGAAACTTATTTTCTTTTATAAATTTAATAGAAAGTAATTTATATTTATAAAGCATTTTCTATTGTAATAAAAACAGATTTATCTATCACATAATATCATAGGTTTATTTACAAAATGTAAGCATTATTACTTTAATTAATATAACAATTTCAAATTACAAGATAAAAAAAATTAACGACTTAAAAGAAATCTATTTAGTTACAAATCTATCGTGACAGCACCTTCCAAAAATTTTAGGTAATTTTAGTTAGAAATTTATTATTATACCACTGATTTTTCAGTGTAAAAGCATTATAATATTTTGAGCAAAAAATTTCACCCAAATATTTTAGGGCATATAAATTACTAACTTTAAAATAAAAATTTATAAATAGGAATAATATTTTTAATAAGCGGTAATAAATCATGAATTAAACACTATTACAATTACCTTAATAAAAGAAGTAATTTCATTAAATTGAAAATTAATGAAAACCCTAATTTATTTCCCAAAAAATGGGTTTTTTTTTCCTTACTGCATGAAACAAAGCTTCGACTAATTGATCTAAAGAACTCAAATAGCACATCCAATTGGGAACTTGTTAGAGAACTCGGTACACAAATTCAGTTAAAATGACTGAAAATAAATGAGAAATCAAATAAATGGTGGAACATACCCAAAAGAAGTAGGGTCTCCATAGGGACGAGGGGAAACCTTCGAAATATTTAAATTTTAAGCCTCTATATGCAAATCAATAGAGGGCGTTTGTAGATAACTCAAAGATCTATTAAATGTATCCAAAATCACTCGGAAGGACAGAAATGTGGATGACAATGAGGAAAAGGGGTGACTGAAATTTCAATCTCCACAAAACTAAATAATACAGTAATATTCCAATCAATTTTGGTGATTTTTATGACCCTAGCAGCAATCTATAAACTCCAATAGATTCCCTTATTCATTATTTATGAAAATCATGCATTCTTACTTAAAAAAGCTGAAAAAATAGCTGAAAAGGGCTCTTTCATGTGTTACTATACAGTGTACACCCTACTCGACTATACCCGGCCTCACCCATAGGGAGAGTCTGGGTAACCTGGCAGAGTCACGGAACCTTGCACGAAATAATGTGAAAAAGATCACAACCTGTCAAAGAAAGGCGAGGCTCCAAAATTAGAAAAACTGCATAATCGTAGGTACAGAATGTTGTGCCTTTTCTTTCAGAATGTTATGCCTTTCTTTCCTTTATGAATGTGAGGTCAAACTCGTTTCGGCAACCTAGCCTTATGAGGATGAATATTTGTGAAACATATTACCTGTTGTCCTTCGGAACTCTTCAGTCAGGGCTCCCTACCTTACTTATAATTGGTGCTTACGAACTCATCATAATGAAATTCATGCTTTCACAATTTTAGAAGTATGGGAGCAATTCGCAACAAGTCGACATAGAGTTAATGTTCGATTGAGATATTATTCAAAAATAAAAAATAAAAAAGTTGGAAATGAGAACTATATATATTGTCCTGGCTAGAGTGTGTACGAAAATTACTGGGCTGCTTTTCCTACCCATATTTTTGCTATTCCCACTGAGAACATAGATGGGAATATTAGTATTGTCAACCATATATTTCAGTGGAACAGTAAAATATGTTTTGAGAACAGAAGCCTCCTAAACTAAATTGAAAAAGAATCAGATACACTTGATTTGTGTATTCTCGATAAAATACATAGATTCTCAACGACGGAGGTGAAGACGAATTCAAGTATGCAAATCACAGACAATCAGGCGGAGCTACAACCATCAATCCTCCAAAAGGAAAGACAATTCTCTCCACCCTGACCTCGGCTAACATCATGTAGGATACACCTCATGCATATGATATACTTTCAAATTCAATATGTATACGACAAACCATGAATAATACATTTTATGAGTGCTATAGCATCAAAAATAATACCTGAGTCATCAGTTTAGTAATGAATCAGAATCCAATGAGGATCTATCATACAATAGCAACATAACTACATTACCAGTAAAGTGAAGGGAAACAGCTTACCTTTCTATGAAGAGCTTCACGTACACCCCCTGGATACATAAGAACATGAGCTTTTCTTGAAAGAAGTTTAAACAGATTGCTTGGTGAGACAGGCACTGCACCAAAATTCCTGATTGTATCAAATGGTGGATCTATGAAATAACTCTCAGAGAATTTTGTGAACAAAAGTGGATGACCAAGGCCTCTCACGAGTATTTTTTTTTCTCTCAAGATTGCCCCTATGAGGGAATACAACTCAAGTCCTAACAACATGTGATAACCAACAAATAAAACAGGACCTTCGTCGGGAATTCCGGCAAGACCCCTCACGATTGTCCCATCTTTCATAGTTGAAAGCATCACTGCATTGACAGCTTGACGAAACCAACTAGAAAATAATGAATTTAAAGCATTAAGCCTAGCAACCAAATATAAGGAAATTACATCATATAAACTTAGAAGAATATTTACCCATTCTGTTGGTCATATATTCTCTTGAATTCACTTAAAGTAGGCGGAAGGAAATCAGAGACGAAATCACGAATTCTTGAACGACGATAAACTTGGGCACCTTTTATAATGGTCAGTAAATTGATACCATCTTCCTGTGTCAACAACAGCATCATACCTTTAAGAAAGATAGTACTCCCACCAACGAAATTTCAGATATTAAGAAGTTTACATTTGTGGATATTTTGACTATTCTAATATCAACCATTTGACAATAGTTCAGAATTTTTCCCCAAACCAATGATCCCCGCACACTCTTAAGAGCATAAGCTTGATCCTCAAAGTTGATATGAAAGACATTGACACCACTGACATAAAGGACTACTTAGATGATGAACAACTTCCGGATTTAATATTCCTCAAGCCCTGGGTAAGTTTTCTGGTACAAATTTTCAACCAGAAACTTAACTTTCTTCACAGTTGGGACAAGGAAAGCTCTAATTAGTCCATTTTAAAGCAAGCATGTGCAAGCACCCATGCAAAGGTCAAAACACTCATGACCATGCACATATAAACTAACAGAATAAAATTGGACCTATCTTATCACCATCCCAACCCGCAAATTTATGGTGAATGGTTGGAAAATATATCTACTGTCAATCCACAGGATTAAAGCAATCAAATTAAGTAAATAAGGCTAGCAATATTCATTGGGAGCATGAAAATGTGAAATTCCCAGGATCAACCACTACAGCCCATTTCGTGCCATCCACAATCATATAGTTAACACAGCCCCTTTCTCCAGCTCCACATAGAAACTGGATGCAGTATTTCAGGAAGGAAAGTTGAAAATGATAAAAAACACACCTTGCAGGGAAGAAGTTGGATTTTTGGCAAGTGATATAAAAAGAACATACATTTAAAATCATATAAACAATTTTTACGAGTTTTCCCTTTCTTCTTTGCTCGTTCTTTTGTTTGTGTTTATGTAACTCGCCCTGTATCTAAATTTTTATTCTATCCAAAAAAATAGTTGAATGATACAATTGCTTTTCCGAAAATCTAAGAGTGACACTTTTTAGTTAGACATCCAGGCCATCAGAATAACATTGGCACCCAGAGCATTAGCCTTCAGTATGCTCAAAAGTCAGACAAACGATATCCATTTCTTGATCTGTACTACCGACAAAAGATTTCAGCAATAGATCATCAAATTTGGTGTTATTTAGGTTCTTTCCTACAGTTACACACAGACCATCTGCAAGACAGAAGACAAAATCCACTCTCAAGTCTCAACCTACCGGTCAACGAAGAATAAAAAAAACGTTTAGAACAACATCACAAAAATTAAGAAAATGAATAGGAAAACTCATTTACCCTCTTCGTACCAATAAAATTACATGGCCACTATCTTTGAAGAATCGAACATTGCAGTTTGGTAATGTATTGCGAAGTCGTTCCGCTTCTTCCATACTTGGTAAAATTTGGTCCTTGCCACTGGCATAAAGATTACAACTACGTTTTTGAGCTTTCCCATGACATTAATGTTAAATACCATAACACAGATCATGTCCTGAAATAGATTTTGGTAGTGCTATGGTGTCACAGGCATAAGTTCATTTGAACCATCACAAGTTCTGCTAGTTACAACAAAAATTGCAATTTGAAGAAAAACAAAGTGTAATACAAAAAAAAAAAAAAGGTAAATTGCTTCTGATTTCAAATAGTTGAAGGTAGTACTCCAGAATGAAGTACTAATTGAGAAAAATACATATCCACCAATTTACGATCAATTATATGACAAGTTCCTTACATCAAGTAAAAGTGTCATTTCACAATTCACATAAAAATATGCAACCACCCATTACCAATGCCACTGAATAAACATGATTTACATATATGGAGCATACGTCCATGATATTTATATATGTGGGAATGAAGCCTTTTAATGCTAATGAAATAACCACTAGTACTGTTTTTTGTTTGCCAAAACATTTCAAATCTAGACGCATAACGCAGCCAACCAAACAGTACTAATGTTAAAATGATACTACATATTTGCACCTGTCGGAAAAACAAGTATCCATAATAGCCTGAATATAGAGATGTCAAAGGGCATTTGGTCCTGTGGTGTGAAAATCAATTTGTATGGGAGAGAAAAAAAAGATTAATGAAATAATTGAAACATCAACCTTATTAATTAGGAAAAGAACATGTATAAAAGGCATAAACAAGAAAAATTTTCAACTAACTCCATAATAAGAAGTAGTTAAGTAAACATATATATCTGGTTGGGTTAGAAACCTGGCAAGCACCAAAACTTCAGCTTTGACAGCATGAAGACGGGAATTGGCATAAGAGGAAGCCGATTTAAGTAACTTCAATTTCCATACAAGTGTTCCCTTTGATATTATTTTTGACAAAGCCTGGTAGAAAAGCCAAAAACAAGGTCGCATCAGAGAAACTTTCTTTTGACATGATATAATACAAAAACTCAGTACTCCATAAAATATCACAATATTTTGAATATTATTTTTTCATAATCACCACTTCACCACATGAGTTATCACATTCTTCAATCTTGGCCTATAAACTGCCATCACTTTATGAAAAGAGCATGGGTTTCATTGGTCAAGTTTGCATCCAGTCCTATACCCATTTCATGACATATAGAAAAAGATAGTCTTATTCAGGTTTATTTTCACAATCAATGTTATGTCTTTGCCTCATATCAGTCAAGAGATGCATTATCACAAATAATGGAGGTAGACAAACTCTCATTGGTTCACTTGTCAAGGCTGATTTGAGCTCTACGCAATGATTGATGTGCTTGAGTAGTTACATAGATATAGAATTGTCATTTAATTGCGTGAGGGTGTTTTGGCAATTTGGTATGGCAAAACATTACTTATATGATGTGACACCCCAATATTATATTAATTATACATTCCGTCTCAGAAATTGTCACCGTTTTGACATCTGAGTTTATGTATTCCCAAAAAAACTACAACCTCCCCCATCACATACAACAAAACCACCACTACCACCAAAAGAATACTTCTCAGCTGCTTCAGTCTTTTTAAGTCACTAAGCTCTTCATCTTTTCTTGTTGTTCATAGGCATTACCCATGAGTAGATAAAAGCCAAGATTATAACTCAGGTCATACGACTTTGTACATCACCAATTGTAGCCAGATACGTATCAAGTCATAAAACAGTCATCCAAGAGTTTAATGATGGAATAAAGAAGAGTGTTTCAAGTACTAGAAGCTTTTAAACCATATGCAGTATATGGGTGAAGCTGACTTACAAATTTAGCAAAAAGGAAAAACGCTAACGTGCACTAGTAGTGACCAATTATAGCTTCTTTTAGATATTCAAAAATGGTAGTTACATGATGAGAGAACATTATTAAGAAACATACAAAAGCATTCTATTATGGTGAGTCTTGCCAACGATTCTACATCATTAATGGATTGGATGCTTCCATTCAATATTTAGAAGGGTCATTATATGCTTCCATTTAACTCAACATATTAAAAGAAAAAGAAATGCTCAAAAAATAAACAAGGAAATGAGTGCCAATCCAATGACCACAGAGAGACGGAGTAACAAGGCAACAAGACCGTCGGATAACTGAGCCACCATATCTGGAAGAGAAAGCCCCTCTGCAACATCAACCATTGCCATCTTGACAAGATCACCTAAACAAGTCATTGAGATAGTAATTACCCAAACAGCCTGCAAGTGGACAGTATAAGGATACTAATATATAAGACATATATTCCAACAATGCATTGAGATATACAGCTCAGAACAAAAAAAGAACTCGTGCATCACACACTTATCATATTACGAATGGAAAATTCAATCTATGAAGGTAGTCCAAAAGTCAAGAAGAAAATATTATACAATACAAGAAATGACAACCTCTTGCCACTCCCAAAAACTAAGAATGAGAGAACTATCAAGCCAAGTAATAAAGGAGTAACTCCATAAAGCATTTTTCATGAACATGATCAGCAAAGGGTGCCTGTAACATAGACAAAAGAGAAAGTATGCAATAAGACCATCTATCTTTAGCACACAGTTACAATCACCCTCTGGCCTCATTATGTGAAATCGGACGACAAAAGGGCTTGCCATTTAATGTGCTCCAAGCCCGAGATTCTCTCAAACCTTGTGCAGAGAGAAGACACACGAGCCAGCCGATATCGCATCAGACGGCTAAGGGTTATTCTGACCTACATGCATCAAAGGTAAACTGTTCTATAATTTACAATCCCATATATAAAAATGAGGGTTGAGGTGCATCTTGTAGTCCATTCATAACAAGAAAACCAGGCAGCTCACTTTCATCAATTCAAGCAGAATTACACCAAATAGTACAGCACACATATGAAGCTCTTTCGGAGTCATGATTTTGAAGTAATAAATTTCTGCCTGTCAATCCAGAGTTATTTGGTATTTGCCCATAAAAACTAGAAAAGCATTAATAATGTTTCCAAATAGAAGGGATTAATCTTTAAACTAATGAAAAGGTTCATCATTCATAATTTCTAAATCCTATGAAGTTTATCAGCAATTGTCCATAGTGCCACAAAAAGGAACAGGCATGTGTAAGGATTCTGATCTGAACTACACACAATGGAAAAATCCTTCTAGTTAAGCGTAAAGCAAATTACAAGACCCAAATTAGGACATAAACGCTTTGCAAAGGTATAGACATATGATACATAAGTAATTCAGGACTTCAGTATCTCCAAACAGGCATGAGTAATCACAAGGTGCACAACTATCGGTAGCTTTATTCAGTTCACCCTTTTTGAGTTTGTGAGCAGTTTAGCGTAAGGTGCAAAACAGAGAACAACACTAAACATCATTAATTGTGTGAAATTTTCATATTGATCTCATCCGGCTCCAAGGCTAAACAAAACACAAAGCAAATTTAAAAGACTCGCGTAGGATACTAACCACATTTATGTAAATACTTGCACCCAGCTCAAATGACAATCACTGATCATGTTATTTTATTATACAACCATTTCCATAACATCCATTACATGCGTTAGGTGCTTATCCTGGAGTTTTAAGTGCAATAGTTCAATATTATACCCCTTATGGTGCTTAGAAAATGTGGAATGGCACTATGTGGCCCAGCTGGTACAGCCTCAATCAAAGGTAACAGAGGTTGCAGTTGTGACTTTCCAAAGGATGTTGCTGAAAGAAGAGAAAATGTGTTACAATCCAATCCATATAACGGATATAAACCTGGAAAACGGAGTACAATTCAATGCAAAAGCAGATGCCAATGGAGTCACCACCATAAAATTAAATGAAAGATGGAAACGGAGAGACCAGATCAGGACATGACACAGGCAGTGCGTCTCTTTTTCTCTCAATCATCATACATCATTCATCACCGTCCATTTTATCAAATGCAGATGACCCCAAGGGCTAGATTTTTTCGTAGCCCAATGAAACAAAGCACATGCAAAATTAGTTAAAAAAAATAAGATCAATTCCAAACTCTTTTGCAAAATAAAAAGCCAAGATCATAATTTACCAGGATTAGAAAGGATCAAAACAAGGTCAATAGCAGGATTCCGAGATGCAACAGCCAGTGCAAGACATCCCCCAAAAGAATCTCCAAGAAGATATATTGGTCTGTCTGGAGATAGTGCATGCTCTAACCTCACGGTATCTTCAACAAATTTTACTAGCCCTGGATCCACAAAATCCCAATTATCCATCTGGACTAAATAACATAGAAAGAAGATCCAGCAATGACATAATAATAAACATTGCTCAATGCAATGAGAACATAAATTGTGAAGTACAGGCACTACAATTCTTAGTGCAAATAGGCATTCTCAAAGCTGTAAGGAACCCCAATAAGAACTCCTTGACAACATCTGAAATTCAACATAAGACCTTCGATAATTAAGTAGCAGAATATAAATAACGCCATGCTTATGTGATAACAGTCAATAAATAAAAAATTACCCTCATGAAGAATGCTTTTTTTTCTGAAAGTTATAGAAGAGTATGGATTTGTAAAGTTCTACATATAATCCATGAACAGTCCATTCAAGGTGACATCAGTCCACCTGTAAATTTAGAGAAATCCATCAAACTCTGTTGCCATATGTGAGCTGTGAGCACCATGAGAAGCTCTTCACAGGCTACCTATGTGGCTAATGCTACCTGGAAGTTGGAACCTTCATCTTCATGTAACTTGCGCAAAATTATGCATTCCTCAATGTTCCCAAACTACTTTCCCACTATCACCAAAAACTGCTTTGCTTAGCACTAACAGCCCAGAATGATCTCAGCCCATTCTAGGTTAAGCTAAACATTATTGGCCTTGGTTGAGTCCAGAGTTTGTAGCATACTAACCACCACGCATGTCAACACGATCAGGATTAACTCAGATGGCCATGTTACTTGCAAAATAAATTTAGGAGGAAAACTAACTGCAGTTTAGGCAGTTCAATTTGATCAATTTGCTCAAGTGAGTACTCCAATATGAAGCGAAGAACATGAGATTAATGGAAAAAAGTGTAAGGAATATAGCAACATCCATAACATAATCAGAGATCAGAATAATAAATTTGTCATATGAAGTTATGAACTACAGGCGAAAAGTTGTCACTAACCTTCAAACGGTGTTCTGTCATAAATAGGAATGTGCATGCACCTAACATCAAAAATCCTGCACTTAATATTTATAATAAAAGATCAGTTCACCTTTCATACTTGTCCTCATTACAAAGTATTCAATCAAGCTTATTCTTGCACTCCTCAGACACAATAGTGACATGGAGAAGCAGGTAAAAAATCTTAAGCAACCACTAATGTATATATGTCTAAAAGAGGGCAAAATGGGATGAACAAGAACATTGGCTCACATGGAATCATGTTTTTGAGTTTGCACTCCCTATAGTCTGTCCAACAAACCAACTAGCAACCAAACTACTCGCTAACTGTTACCCAAGCTAGCAGCTAACGGATAAAAGAGAATGCCTAGTTGTATCTGATTAAATGACTGCTACGGGTAAAACTAGCAACAAGAGTCACATAAGTACTATGAGAATTTACATTCATAAGTCATCTTCAAACGAAGAATGGTGGTCAACCAACAACATGAAACCCCTGGTGATATGGACCATGGTAACATTAGTATGTTACCATATAAGAGGAAAGAACCGCCTTCCTTTCTAATAAAAATCAAATCAAGCACCTCTTCTCTGGTGACAATATACCCTAGTTGGATTTCTCCAAAGTCTAAATTCATATATATGTGAGAGATAAGAAATATCCTAAAATGAGTAACCATGGCCTAAAAGCATAAGAATACTCATATGCTGCTCTGGTTTGCAAGTTCATTTCCACAGTTAGATGTGGGTTGCCTTTCTAAATATTCATTCCATAGCAATGTGCATTTGTTCCCAAAGCAAATTCAAGAGACCTCAGGGCTAATTTTACATCAAATAACATACCCTCACAAGTCGAAGACAAAGAAGCCATTTAATTGTCGAGTTAAAGAACCCAACAAATAAATGCATTTAAGGAACATAAAACATGAGACAGTGGATACATGCATGCATATAGACATACATGCGTATATACATAAATGCACACACACATAAACATTATCTAAGGCATATGCACAAAAACAAACGAGAATAGACATGGACAAATACACATGCATACACACACACACACCATGTGCATAACCATATGCATATACACCAACATACACATACACACAGCTGCACACCTATACTAATACATACATGCAAACATGCACACATACATGCATTCACAATTTCACACCTATGTAATTTTTTAGGTACTTACATATATATGTAAGCAAGCAACAAACATATGCATTGACATAACCTGTAGTTTTGCACTTTTATACATAGGTATCCACGTATGTATATAGAAAAGAAACACAAATGCACAAATGCTAACCTCCCAAGAGCTTGATGATGCCGCATGAGCCCCAAACCAGTGCCACCAATTCCTAAATATTAAATTTCAAATAATTAGGCTCAAGTAAGAAGCATCAATCCAGTAATGGAACAGGACAAGAATAATAATGAAGATCCGCTGCACAGCATGCAATAAATGCAAATAAATACCCATATTACTCGTAGTGAACATAACCACAAAATTTTCTAATTTCACCGGCATTGGTTGAACTCACAAGTAGCTTGAATAACTGGCCAAAAAAAAAGAGCTCAAAAAAGTAGCATTCACCAAATGAGCCATGAACATCATTGGGCAAAAGAATCTATTTGATCCAAGTCAACAGTTAGTAAGCATTGCCTTCTATAAATTCTCAAAAAAAAAAAAAAAAGAGTATAAAAAGACTATCCTACAATTACATTGGTTGTTGGCTTTCATCCAAAAAGTGCACAAATAACAAACACAAGTATGAAAAGCGAGGATACCATCTAACATATAATTATGGAGTAAGAATAACCACACAAGAACTAGAAAACAACTACATCAAACAAACAACTAACAAAAGACATCAAGAACCATGTATTGATGTACATAAATAAAATACCCTTTAACATGTACCAGGCAGAAAGAGGAAAACCGGAGAATCCTTCATTGGACGCCCACATTCAATAGGGGTAAACCAGCGAGGTGGCCCACTATCCTGCCTGTCAAACTCCTTCGACCTATCCATATAGTCTTTTGCACTCTGAACTTCCCAGCTAAGATCATCTTCTAACAATTCTAATCCGTTAAAATCACTTTCTGCTTTCAACTTCTTGTCCTTTCCCTCTCCTTCCTTTTCAGACACAATTCGCCCATTTTCTTCAAACCCAATCAACTGCCCTTCCTTACTCTCCTTTTCCAAATACAAAGAGGTGGATTGCCCATCCTCCGAAGCATTAATCCCCATCTTTAAAACCGGATATTGAATTCGAGTCGAAAATAACGGATTAAAACCAGTTATAAAAATGAGCCCACGCCTATTGCAAAAGTAATCCAAAATCCTGATCCCCATTGGAGAATGAGTGGTACCGAGGACCATGGCTGGTGCCATTTAGACCACAACAGCCCTATTCAACAGCAAAAAATCCTAATCTCAATCTAAAACAAGAAACAACAGCGACCGCAAAATGCCTATTCAACAGCTTCAAAGCCTAAAATTAAATTTACAACAAGAAGAAAAAAGAGCCCCCCAGTTCACTTCGTGCCATCTCCTCCTTGTGCAAATTTAACAGTATAATTTGAACTAAAATGAAAACAAAGAACACCTAAGCGTGTCTAGTGAGAGAAAGAGCAGTCACAAACTCTCTTAAATAGAGCAGTTAGTAAACAACCAAACACACTAAACAGAGTTGAGCTCATGCTTCTGAGACGATAGAGTTTCCCTATGCAATCTCCTTAATTTTGAAGTTACGTAGACGAATGCAGAATAAATATTACAGAGAGTAAATGATAGGATGCGTATGAGAATACTAACAAAAAAAAATCAATATTTAAATGAGGATTCATGCACCAAAATTTTATGAGAACAATGAGATAACAACCCTAAAATTGGATGAATGGAGAGAAACCTCGATAAAAATATTATTACCTGAATAGGAAATGAGCGTTTCGACCAGAGGCCCTGCATCACTCCTTTTGGGCAGTGATTTTTTTCGGAATCGTGTTTCTCTCTCCTCTCCTCTCCACTTTGTCTCTCTCTCTTATGCGAGTGGTACCAATACGACCTGCCCTCCATTCCCTTTCCTTCCCTTTGATTATTTAAGATATTTCTTATCCATAAAGGCTTGTCCGTTAAATTTTGAACGATGGTTTCATGGGGATGGACCGCATTTGCGCTCTCCAGGTATAAACCAATTGTAACTAACTTTTCAAATATTTTTTTCATATTAATTATTATTTTTAATTTTTAATTTTTTTTATTTTTTCATTTTCATGATCTCTATGTTAAAAATTATATACTCTAAAAATTACGGTCAAGTTATATTTAAAAAAAATATTTACCAAGCCCACATTTGTACATGTGCGGGCTTCGCCTGATGCTAATAGCGTTCTTGAATTTTTTTTTTAAGATTACTTTAAAAAGCTATTCTTCGGAGGGTGTGGTTTCTATAAGGTTGCAACTTTAAACAATCCAATTAAGACACATTAAAATTTTATTAACATATAATTTTGTTCTAAAAAAATATATAGTATTATCTTAAAATCTATTTTTATACCTAATTAGAAATTTTATATTCCAAAAATAGTTAAAATCAAGTAGATCTATAAATATATGAAAATCTTAAAAATAGACGGTCTAGATAATGTGTTGCAAGATGTACTATTTTCGAGACTTAAAACTTTTTTTTCATATTCATGCATCTCGATGTCGAGATGATCGATTGGAGGGTTTTTTAAATAGTAAATCAACATTTCCGATAGATTTTTGAGATGCATCTATTATTCTACATTTTAAAGTTGCAACCTTATATAAACTTTGCCCTTTTCGTTATGAGTACCGTTTTTGTTGAGTTGCTTCAGGAAGTTCGTGAATTGAAGGAAGCATATCTCTTGTCCTTCACTGGGAACATGAGATAATAAGAAATATTTTACGAGTTGGATTAGTTGTGGAATAAGTAATAGGATGGTAGTTTTTTATCTTTTTAGAGAGTTTGATAGAAGATTATGGAAAAGAGAACCTACGGAATTGTAAAGGGAAAAGTTTATATACCGCCAAGGCTCTAAACTATCAAATTAGAGCCTATATTAAAATTTTCACTTGAAGAGATTGTTTTGATGCTCAAATATCTTCAAATTAATCATTTCGATATCAAGATGTATGGACATGAGAAAAAATTGGATTTCAAGTTTTGGGAATAGTATATTTTATAATGCATTTTTGGACTTTCAATTTTTAAGATTTCCAAGTTTTCATAGACCACTGTTTTTGAACCTTTAAACTTTACAAAAAAAGATGAAAATATATTTTAAGGCTATCACAAAGATTTTCAGCGTTGAAATCACATTTATGAACACTATTTGAAGGTAGCCTCTAATTTGATTGTTTAGAGCCTAGGCTCTATACAAACTGAACCCCATTGTAAAAGGATTAGTTTTTATGGACTAAAAAAAACGTTGTTTTTTTGTAGAAAGAGAGAGAGGTATTTTTTGTGGGTGTTTTTCTTTTTCTTTTCTCTTGTGCTTGTGAGCCCCATAGTGGAGGACTCGAATCCGCATGTTCGTTCCTTCTATTGTGATTTCCTTCTTGGTTCTTATTTCTGCTATAAAACATTGTTGTTTACTGGTTATTGGCTTAAATTGAGCCATAATGTATAAATCCAAGTCAAATTAACAATTGTAGATTTAGTTAACTTTTAATCACACTTCGTACAAAGTTGTAGGAGCCTTCCTAAACCCAGCTTAACATGAAAAAGATCAAGCATAAGCACACACTCCAAAGAATACCTTAATCTGATAGTCTTCTTACTTTGTAGCTTGATCCAATGTCTAACTGGAGGGAAGCTCATCAAATCATTGTAATCAACAACCAACTGCTACAAAAGGGGCTATATCAAACTAACAATCAAGATATAACAAATATCTATAACTACAGCATAAAGGAATATCAAACTAATGATTGGAATGTAGGTTCAACTACATTAAGACAACTTGCATAATCCCACCATGAACTAAATCACATGTATAATTCCATACCATCAAAACCAATTCAAATGATAGGATTATCTGGTTTGGGATATCAGGATTAGTACTTGGAGGGTTGATGCTTCTGTTGACGAACAATTCAAGGGTTTGTTGGCATCGTTATATGCCTTATGTTATTATCCCCAGAAACCATATAGGATTATCTGGTACCTAGAACTTAATGGTCAGTTATCAGCTTCTTCTTTATACCATGCGATCTATAGAGACGGCTATATCAAAGGCAAGTCTTCCCTTGCTAAGTTCTGGAAGTGCAAAGTCCCTCATCGAGTCAAGACACTTTTATGGCTTCTTGGTTATAAGAGGCTTATCACTATTCATTGGCTGAGGAGATTGGGGTTCATCCTCACTAATATTTATTTGCTCTACAAAAGCAATGAATAGTATATAGACCATCTCTTCATCCACTGCACTTTTGCCACAGCCTTATGGGATTGGTTGCTCAGTTTTGCTAATTGGATTGGACCCAGATATGCTGAGACAAATGCCTGGCTACAATAATTGTGGATCCCTCCTTTCTCCTCATTGGGAATTCAACTCTAGAGGATCTCAGTTGTTGCAATCACCTGGAACCTATGAAGAGAGCAGAATTTGAGAACTTTCGAGGGGTGCAACAGAGAGTTGCCTTCCTTTATTGAAGCCATTAAGTGATCGATCACTCTTTGGGTCTATACTTTTCTTCCCCTAAAAGTTGTACCCAGAGACTTTATATTCTCAAACTACTCACTGCTCCTACAATTTAAACCCAATTGTCCCACCAAACGTTTTGTCAAGGTAGCGCCACCCGAGGGTTGGTTTAAACTTAATTTTGATGGCAGTGTAAAAGGTCTCATTGCAAGCTATGGGGGTCTCCTTCGAGATCACTTGGGCTCCGTTCTGTAGACTTACTTAAGGAGACTGCATCTATGCGAGGCCAACGAAGTTGAGCTTTGGGCGGTATGAAAGGGTGTGGCCCTTTTGGATCCCTCTCGCCATAGGGTTATAATTGCGGTGACTCATCGAATGTCATTTCTGTTGGAGTTTGGGCAAGGTGAAATGAGGGTAGAAAATAATACAATTTGTAAAATTAGATCTCGAACTCTTCTTGTTTTCGGGCATGCAGGAGCACTATAATATTTGCCCCCCTTTGATAGATTATTTGATGTACATATGAAGCGCAATTCGTCCTTGGGATACAGGAAAACAAAGAGGTCTTTTTCAATGTTCCTAGCTGTATGCACTTAAACTTGGAAGTTAGAACCCACACAATAGACACCAGAGTCTTGATAGTTTTGAGAGAAAAAGAGATAAAATCGAGTAGAGAGAGAGAGTTTAGCACATAGGTTTTCTTGTTGGAATTGTAGAGAATGGTGTATTGCTAGAGGTTTGAAAAAAATTTGAAGTGTCCAAAAAACATGTAGGAGGTCCAAGGCTCCTGTTAGAGCGCACCAAGATGACCCTTGTTAGAGAGCACCAAGAAGCTGCCCATTGATGGTTGTTGCCTCCATCTCTCATCAATAGCTAGATGATCGTTGGATGTCTCACACATGCATTAACGGCTAGATGACCGTTGGATCTCCCTCCAAGCCGCACGTGCATGCGTGCTCTACACATGTGCGTTCTCTCTCCTTTGTGCTTAAAGTATATTGAATGGAAAGCATACTCTTAAATATGGCTCAACAAAGTCTCTCCTCTGGAATGTGGGATTCAAACCCACATGTTCCTCTCTTTACAAAGGCATTTTAAGAAAGTACAATAAAAACAAAATGTTGTTTTGAAATACACTTAAGTATTTTTCAAACCAAAAATACCAACAATTTCTTAGTGTCATCGCCTGGACTCAACACCATGGAGGTTGAGTAGTCTCATTGACGAAATCATGTTGTTGCTTTTTGGGATTGAAGTCTCCTGCTCCCATATTGTTCGTGGTTATAATTCAGAGGCAAATTCTTTGGCTAATGAGGTCACATCCTGATTGAGACCGGGGTTTTCCTTTTCCTTTTTTCTCCCTTTTTTTTCCTTTTCTTCTTTCTCCCCTATCTCTCCTCTCTTCTCTTCTTCCCTTCACCTTCTTTTCTTTTGTTTTCCTTCTCCTTGTAACTTTCATTATCTCAATGAAACTCACCTTTTCTTAAAAAAAAAAGATAATGTTTTAGGGTGAAATATAATGTAGACTATTTGGTAAAACAAAAACAAATTCAAATGATAGTCAAAAGAACACCAAAGGCACATAAAATATTATTTATTTTCCTACTCAAAAAGCCCATTTTCATAGTTCTAAAAATAATCCCAACAAATGCAGAACTACAAATAAATGTATGTGATTTGTCGACCGGAAAGGTATTAAGTTTTCATTTTTCCTTTGTCTGAATGGTCCTTGACATGAAGACGATGAGTAAATACCACCATAACAAAATTCAAATTTTACGACTGCCAAAGTAAACTTTTAAGAGCTTACTTCTATGGCCAAACCAACTTGTCTAATTCACCCTTCATCCATCAAACGCATCAAATCACTTCAGAGATCCAAGATACAGTATAAGTTTTTCAATTACACAATGCTTGAGTTCAAGAAAATTTCATCTTAAAGCATTTCAAAACTCCAAGATTGCTCGAGATTATAGAATTTGATTTTTTTTAAAGCAAGAATATCGAGCTAGACCGAGATTATAGAGTTTGATTATTTTGGGGGCGAGAATACCAAGCTCAATTTTTTGAGAGCTATCGGATGGCAGACGAAAGAAGTAGCATTAGATTAATATTTTTTATTCAATTTTTTTTTTATTTTTTTCTCTTTTGTTTTTTTAACAAGTCTTATCTTATATTTTGGAAAGCTCGGTTCACACGGGCTTCAGCTAGTTTGAATTCTTTCGAGCGAGAATATCGAATCGGAAGAAGTGGCGTTGAATTGGTATTTTTTATTCAAATTTATTTTTAGTCTTATTATTTTTGTAAGGGTAATTCTTAGTTTTTGGAAAGCTGGGCCCTTACAGGCCTTCAACCGGTCTTACCATTTTTTTAAGCCCGGTCTTACCATTTTTTATTGTTTATTCCTTAAAATATTATAGTATCAGTGTAGCCGGTACTTTAAAACGATCGAAAATAGGACAGAAGTCTTAGTTTCGGTTATTCAACCCCCAAAAATACGATATTTCTTATGTTGAACAACCAGAAATATGACATTTTCGAATGTTGCACAACCGAAAATAGAACTGCGTATTCCAGAAACTTAAACGAGCCTCTCTATTTTCTGTTGTTCAAGAACCAAAATTAGCTTATTTTCGATTTTTGAACAGTCGAAAATCTAGCCATTTCGGTTATTCAAAAACTGAACAGGAATAAAAAATATTTTTTTAAAAATTTCGTTATGAAATGAAAAAAAACAAACATTTCAGTAATAAATGAAACTATTTGATATTTTAGTAATAACGAAAACTATAACTGATATATATATTTATAATTGTCGCTATTATTATTGTAGTTGTTGTGCTTGTTGTCAAGAGGCAGTGTAAATAAACACGAAGTAAACCATATAATCCAAGTAAGGTCCAGTTGATGAAAATAAAAACTAACCACAAAAAGTTTTGATTAAGTAAAATAAACTAGACAATGTACATAGTATATAATTTAACTCTTTTTTTTTTTTCTGAATTTTGATATCTTTATTTGGCATTTTTCAGGTTCAAATTTTTTTTTTTTTTTTTTTTAATGTCATAACATTAAAATTTATAAGGTCTTTGTTTTTTTTAATCATAGGATAATGAAGTGATTTCTATTAATTTTCTAATTATAATTATTTTAATACTATCCTTAATTATTATACATTGATAATGAAATCTTGTATTTTTATTTATTAATTTATTTGCACTATAAATTATATGATGTATAATTTTTTCTTGTAGTTATAAATAAATTTTTTTAAATTAGATGATATTATAAGAAAAAATTTGGATATGTTCTTATTTGTATAGTATAATACTAATTAAATATAAACAAACAATTTCCATTTCAGTAATAATATATAGTTAGTTAGATTGTGGTAATTTTGGATAAGTAAAGCGAATTAATAAATGTTTTGCTAATTTCACTTTAGAATGGGCATTATTTTTTTCAATCTTGTAATATGAGTGTTTTTTTAACAATTTGTAATAATTTTGATGCAATATTATAATATTATACTATAATTAATAATTATATAGACATCCAGATAGGGAAATGTTTCTATTTACATATTTTTGCAAATAATGAAAGTACATAATATAACACCCCTAATTTTTCTTAAAAATTTTTTTTAGAGATTTTTAGTGATTTTTTGAAATTTTTTATAGTCAAAACATGCCAATCTAGCCGATTCTTCAATCAGGATCGCCAATCTACATATGCAACACTATTTTCTCTTATCCGGATCGTCGATCCACCCATTTGACACTATTTTTGGGGGTGGCATTCTTTTTTTTAAAAGCCTTGATTGGTAGGAAGAGATTGGTTTTGATTAGGTTGTTGGTAAAGATAAAGTTTAGAAAGCTAGGAAGTTTAAAGAGATCGAGCTATTTTTGAGAGCTAAGTGATGGCAATTTTTTCTTATGTGTAAACTTGATGAGGAAACTGGAACCATCTTTTTCTTTAATATTATGTGGCATTAACTATTTGGTATGGTTTTTTCAACCTATTTGGAATCCATGCTGCTCTTCTTAGGTCGGTTTTGGACATTATTACTCAGTTCTCTTTTTCTCATCTCCTCTCTGAAGGTTCTTTGATCTGGTGTATTGCTCGAGGAGCAGTGGTTTCGGAAATTTAGAAGGAAATGAATAGGTGTACTTTTGATGGTATTAGCATTCCTTTGACTGGTTGTTAGACAATATAAAGCATTCCCTTTGGCAATGGTATTCGGTCACAAAAAAATGTTCGGGCCTTTTTAAAGCGGACGTCTTCATTAATCTGCAAAATTTGTTTCTCAGGGGTAAAGTGAAGATGCGTTCGTGTTGCTTCTAGTCTCCACCAGAGACAGACCGTTTCAAACTAAATTTCGATGGTAGCTCTCTCAGTAATCCAGGTTTGGCTGGCATAGGAGGTGTTCTAGGCAATGAGCTTGGTGAGACCATTATTTCTTATGCGGGTCCTATTGAGGTTGCTACGGCTAATCATGCGGAGCTTGCTTCTTTATTACAAGGTTTGAAGCTCATTATATCTAAAAATCTCGCTCATTGTTGTATCTACGAAGGTGACTCACTAAATGTTATTAATTTGTGTATTAAGAAATCGTGTACCCCATGACTACTTCGGTCTCTTTGGTTGGAAATCATGGATTTAGTTGGCATGTTTATCGTGAAGCCAACTATATAACAGACTCCCTCGTTAAAGGAGGCACTTCTTTGCCTTCTCTGTCTGTGTCTTCTGATGTGATTTGCTTTGTTTAAGTTATTTAATAAAGATTCGAACATTTGTCAAAAAAAAAAAAAAAATAGTGATGGCACTTCTAGGAGGTATAAAAAGAAGACGCACCATGCATGGGATAATTGGGTTTGATTCAATTAAAAAAAAAGAAAAGATTATTATACCATGGTTGGTGCGGCTAAATTTAAAGTCCCTTCCAGTTGCTCTTCGACTGCTCGAGACAGACCCAATGATCCCTCCAAGTTCCGCCAGACAGACCCAATCATCCCTCCAAATGCCGGGGTGGATGCCATTAGGCCATGCATTATGGTAAGATTTTGAGCCCGCTGATTGCAATAATATTAAATAAAGATTTCAAATCTTCTGTGTTTAAAAACCAAGAGTTTCATTTCATTTCATTTAATTAATTAATGAGTTTTCATTAAAAAATAGTTTTTTTCCAATATTATAGGGCTATTATTTCTAAAATATGTCATTTTTGCAATATTGTTGTTACCTCAGAAATGCTTTGGGAAGAATTAAAATTACATATACTTATAACCGGTAAGGAAACATGAAGGAAGAACAAAATATTATAACACCAGAAACAAAAGATACATTTTCAGCATACATGTCCAATGAACTTAAAATTTCCTTCACTCTTTTCACAGTGAAAATTATGCCAAAGTTTGAAAAGTCGTGAAACATTCAAAGAAACTTGTTGATTGACATTCCAAAGATATCACTTGCCATCATTTTCAAAAAAACACAAAACGAACCCTCTTCCAGATTTCTATATATTTTATTTATATCACTTGCCATCATTTTCTCCAAAGCACAAAACGTGTGCCCCCTTCTAGATTTCTATATATTTTATTTAATTAATAAGAAATTTTTTTATGTGAATCTCTCGTATCTCTTTTCCCCTTCTCTCTCTAAGCAACCAAGCATACAAAAAGATTGTTCATTGCATGAATGCTTTTTAAAAAAGTGCTTTACTAATTAAGCAAAAGACTTAGTTTCTGAACTTCATGTTCTTTATCGGAGTTGTTTAATTTCCATCTTCTTTTGTGGTCGGTCATGAGGGCATGTCTGTATAGTTAGGCAAGTTGAATGCATGAGCAACAAGATTCCGTAAAAATAAAGTAGGTTTAAAGTATCCAAAATTTGTCAATTTTAGCGAAATTCGTCAAAGATATCACTCATGTGGCCAGAGGCACAAGCTTTAGCATTTAAACTTAATAACTGTTGTACAAGATTTTTGAGGCAATCAATTGAACCAAGTAGTGCAGAAGCCTGAAGAAGATAAATGAATGAAACCATCAGATTTAATATGAATATCCTCTGAATTGCACATCTTATCTCACCACTATACAACCAACAAGTGATAAAATACACCTTCATACCAGCCTTTCATAGCTCAAATGTGGGGACTTCCTTAGTGAAACCCCATGTCGCCTGATATAAAGCCCTCGGTAATAAACTCCTGTAAGGGTCCTCCTCTCTCTTCTTCCTTAAGAAGGACATAATGTTCTCCACCTCTGACTTTATGTACACGTAGAGCTTATGTGCTTCCTCTTTGTCTCTGAGTTCAGCCTTTCTCTCTCTAGTCTCAATAGGCTTCCCAAACAAATAATAAAATCGCCCAGGTATTTTTGGCAAAAGCCCAGGGCAATACATGTCTTGGTTCGCTAACTCCCCAGTCACATCAGTCCTGTTATCACAAGCCGAAACACAAGCTTAAATAGCTCTTCAAGCTTTTAAAATTCTTTGGATATGTGTACACTGATGATTGTTATACAAGGAAATGGTAACTATCTGTTGTGCTTTACCAAGGTAATTGATGCAGAGTAATAAAGGGAGAGCTGATTTGTATAAGGTGCATGCAAATATGTAAAAATAACAGTGTTACACTTAGGAAGGTTAATTGCATGGGGGCAAATAAATTTTTGAAACTCAAATATACAAGTAGTTACCCCTTCGACTAAGTCACAAATATTCACCTGTTCATAAGCTTGTCGTATAATTCACAGGGGATTTCATCAAGCATTGACAATTACAACCTTCACACATGATATTTAAGTTACCAAGTAATGAAATTTTAAGCTGAAATAACCTTTTTTTTTTTAAAAGGAAGTTCAACTAAGCTGAAGTAATCTTCATCCCAAACATAGTTACATATGGTCATACCTTAATATTCTCATAATAAGCTAAGCCGATCAGAAAAGGATCCATGTCATAAATAATGTAATACAAGAGAAAATAAAAGAAAATACATAAAAATGATTATCAAAATCAAGACTCGAGCACTTGAGAGCATTCTGACATGATAATACATAAAACTACATCAGATTAACAATTGTAGCATTTATTTAACTTCAATATATTTTATATAAAGTTGTAGGAACCTTCCTAAACCCAGCTTTCCCAGCTTAAAATGAAAGACATCAAGCATGAGCACACACTTAAAGAATACCTTAATCTGACATGCTCCTTATTTCCTTGCTTGATGAAGTCTCTAGCTGGAGGGAAGCTCATCAAATCATTGTAATCAACAACCAACTACTACAAAAAGGACTAGATCAGACTAACAATCGAGATATGACAAATATCATAAGCTATAGCATAAAGGAATGTCAAACTAATGATTGGAACATGGGTCCTGATGAATTAAGACAATATGCATAATCCCATCGTGAACCAAATCACCGACCAAAATCACATGTTTAATTCCACGCTATCAAAACAAATTCAAGTGATAGTTAAGAGAAGATTGAAGACTAAAAGATTATTTATTTTCCTACTTAAAAAAGTTCATTTTCCTAGTCATAAAAGATAATCTCAATAAATGCAGAACTTTAAGGATTTTTACACTAAAAAGATATTAGGTTGCTATGAACAGGATCTTTTTTTCTTGTTCTAAATGGTGTTTGACGCGAATAGGATCAGTAAATTCCCCAATATCGGATTGAAATTTTACAGACTGCCAAAGTAAACTTTTAAGAGCTTACTTCCACGATGTCATCTTCTCCAACAACACCAAAAGGCACTATAGTGGCACCAAATTTAGCTGCCATTCTCACAAATTCCGAACGCTCCGGCCAGAACAACTGATACTCTTCACCCTACATCCATCAAACACATTATATCACTTTAGAAAGTTAAGACTTTGCCAACAAACAAATAAGTATATAGGGGTACAAGTGGAATATCCCCAAGAAAAATACATAGATGGTTCATAGCCAACTGTTATAATATGAAAACACTGTTAGGAACGACATATTCAAAAGTTGACTATTTCTAAAAATGGGTACGGGCCTGTAATCCGCACTGATCTACCCCCCCCCCCCCCCCCCACCGGGCAAAAAAAAAAAAACGAGAGAATAGTCGATGCTTGCTATATGCCAATCATGAGTTGCAAGTTGACACATATCCAACGGTTCAAGAAACACCCAACTATTGAACCAATATTATTGCATGACAATGGTTAAAGCGGTTCTTTTCTTTTTAATATATAAAAAAGATGGTTAAAGAGATTAGTGTGCATATATATTTTTCAAAGCCAGGTGGACAGAAAAGTTTACAGATAGAGAGCAAATACATCTTTAGAAGACACTCTATTGGGATCATTCAGACAGATACAAGGAATCACAATAACTAAGTAAAAATATTCACAGGCAATCTAAAATTCTGAGTCATTGGAAAAGAATATTGCATTAGTTCATGAAATAGTATGATAAAAGATCAGAACCCATCAAAGAAAGGTGAGGCTCCTAAATTAGAAAAAATGCATAATCATGGGTTTAGAATGCTATGCCTTTTCTTTCCTTTATGAATGTGAGGCCAATCTCTTTTTGACAACCTAGCCTGATGAGAACGAATATTTGCAACACATCTTACCTGCTGTCTTGTAACTCTTCAGTCAGGGCTTCCTTCCTTATACTTAATGAGTGCGCACTTTCAAACTCATGATAATAAAATTCCATGCTTTTTTAATTTTTGAAGTATGGGAGCAAGTCACAACAAAGTCGACAATCAACAAAGCCTACAGAGGTTGGAAGCATTATTATCAGCTTTACATAATCAGTGTTTGTCAATCGACAATCAACAAAGCCTACAGAGGTTGGAAGCATTATTATGAGCTTTACATAATCAGTGTTTGTCAAAGAACACGGTTAAAGTTGATTGAGATATTATATCTAAAAAAAGGTCGGATTCCTATAAAAATATATTGTACTGGCTAAAGTGTGTAAGAAAATTAGTGGGCTGCACAATTCACACCCATATTTATCTTATTCCCACTGAGAACATAGATGGGAATATTACTGCCACCAAACAGTGAAATATGTTTTAAGAACAGAAGCCTCCTAAACTAAATTGAAAAAGAATCAGACACTTGATTTGTATATTCTCTATAAAATACAAGCAAGGCGTCCACCATAGATTATCACGGAAGGAGGTGAAGATCAACTGTAGTATGCAAATCACAGAATCAGGTAGAGCTACCACCGTCAATCCTCAGAATGCAAATCACATTGTCACCCCCCTTAACCCAGCTATCATCATGTAAGATACACATCATGCATATGATATACTTTCTAATCGGATATGTATGGGACAAACCATAGATATTATATCTTATGACTGCTATAGCATCAAAAATAATACCTGAGCCATGTATTTGGTAATGAATGAGAATCAATCATAGACTAGAAACATAACTACACTACCAGTAAAGTCAAGTGAAACAGCTTACCTTTCTATGAAGAGCCTCACGTACACCGCCTGGGTACAAAAGAACATGAGCTTTTCTTGAAAGAAGTTTAAAAATATTGCTTGGTGATACAGGCACTCCACCAAAATTCCTGATCGCATCAAATGACGATGGATCTTGGGTAGAACTCTCAGAGCGTTTTGAGAATAATAATGGATGAGCAAGGCCTCGCAGAAGTATTTTCTTCTCTCTCAGGATTTCCCCTACAAGGGGAGACAACTCAAGTCCCATCAACATGTGATAACCAACGAATAAAACAGGACCTTCATCGGGAAATCCAGCAAGACCCTTCACGATTGTTCCATCTTCCATAGTTGAAAGCATCACTGGATTGACAGCTTGATGAAACCAACTAAAAAATAATGAAATTAGAGCATTAAGCATAGCAACCAAATGTAACGGGAATTTTCTTACATCATATGAAATCAAAAGAATAATTACCCATTCCTATCAAAAAAAGAAAAAGAAAAGAACAATTACCCATTCTGTTGTTCATATACTTTCTTGAATTCACTTAAAGTAGGTGGAAGGAAATCCGAGAGAAAGTCACGAATTCTTGAACGACGATAAACTTGGGCACCATTAATAACTGTCAACAAATTGATACCATCTTCCTGTGTCAATAACGGCTTCATGTCATTAAGAAAGATAATACTCTTACCAACTAAATTTCAAACATTAAGAAGTTTACATCTGTGAATATTTTGATTATTGTACGATCAACCATATAATAATGGTTCAGGAATTTTGTGCCAACTAATGATCTGCGCACACACTCAAGAGCATACCATTATTCATCTCAATAGAGACTCGATCCTCAAGTTATATGAAATACATCGATACCACTGACATAAAGAACTACAGTTGATGAACAATTTCAGGATTTAATATTCCTCAAGCCACAGGCAAGTTTTATGTCACAAATTTTTAACCAGAAACCTAACTTTCTTCACAGCTGGGACTAGGCAAAATCTAACTCGTCCAGTTTTAAAGCAAGATGCAAGATATAAAGAATCTGTAAAGCCATTCAAGGTTCATAAATATAGACTAGAATTTGTGCAAATGACTTCCACTCAGAATCATTACGTGCAAGCACCCATACAAAGGTCAAAACACCCATGACTAGCACATATAAACTAACAGAAAAAAATTGGGCCCATCTTCCAACCATTCCAACCCACAAATTTCTGGTGAATGGTTACACAAATCTACTGTAAATCCACAGAATCAAAGCAATCGAATTAAGTGAAGCTTAGCAACATCCATTGAGGACATGAAAAAAATTCAAAAGCCCGAGATCAACCACTACAGCATACTTCATAGTATCTCATAATCATAGCTAACACAGCCCCTTACTCCACCTCCACATAGGGTTCGGATGCACAGTTTCAGGAAGGTAAGTTCAAACGATAAAAAGCACATCTTGCAGGGGAGACTGGACTTTTAGCAAGTAATGTAAAATGAACATATGTTTAAAATCATATGAACAATTTTTACAATTTTTCTCTTTCTTTTTTGCTCTTTCTTTATGTTTGTGGTTTTGTTATGTTTCTAAACTCTTATTCTAATTTTCATTTCCCCAATAGGGGTGGCAATTGGATCGGGTCGGTCCGAACCAGGTCTGAGCCGATGTTTGGGACCCGGCGGGTAGGGTTCGTGTCTGGCATGGACCCTATCAGGTTGGCTCCGCGTCTGGGCTGCCCCGACCCCACCCGAACCAGCATAAAATATAAAAAATATATACTAAATAATACATAGAATATCTTTCTTTTCTTTTTTAAAATTTCTAGACTTGGGTCCAGGTCAGGTTCGGTCCAAGTCACTTGGACCAAACCCAGGTCCGGGTGAATTCCAGTCGAGTGGGGCCTAGGTCGGGTCTAGGTCAAGGTCGATCTAGACCTGACCTGACCCATTGCCACCCCTACTCCCCAATTTTCCTATTCTCCTTTTTTATCAAAAAATGGTTGAATGATCCATTTGGTGATCCAAAAATAGAGAACAACATTGGCACTCAAGACCACTAGACTTCAGGATGCTTAAAAGTCATTTAGACATAAGATATCCATTTCTTAATCTGTACTGTAAACAAAAGATTTCAGCAATAGATCATCGTATTCGGTTTTCCTAGGTTCCTGCTACACACTGCAAGACTGAAGACAAAATCTAGTGTCAACCAATGTTCGCAAAATTGAACAGGAACGGTTAACCGGACATGGGCCTGGAAGCAGTTTAACCGGCCAAACTGGCTAACCAGCCGATTCAACCACTCTAACCGAGCAAGCTCCGGGTGGTCAAAAAAGTGTTAAATTTTTTAAAAAAATATATAAAAAAATCTACTAAAATATGAAAAGAATATAAAGAATGATTAAAACAAAACACATTCAAATGAAGTTGAAAAATAATGAAAAAAATGGATTTTAACCCATTTTATATTTTTCAAGCTATTTTTTAAATTTTCTAAAAAAGATGGAAAAATATAAAAGTGAGTATTAATGACCAAAACAAATTTTAATCTTTACCATAATGTAAAGAATATTTAAAAATGCATTACAAATCAAATTCCTTATTTTTGAGAATTTATATATTTTTTTTTTAATTTGTTTTTTTTAAATACCGGTTGATCATCCTAATGGGCGATTTTGCGAACAATGGTGTCAACTCTCAACCTACCAATTTATTCATCATACTCTTCCAAAGATCTAATTTCTCTTTTTCATTCAGTGCATTGAATGAATTCTTTATCCATCATATTCATAAGATTGTCATAGTTTTTCGTAATTCTTCAGAAAGCTCTCCTCTTTCCATCATCAAAAATCAACAAAAAAAAAAAGACTTTTCCTATGAAGGGAACCTAAATTCCCTTTAGCATTTAACTTCTAGATTGCAAATAATACAAAAATCTTCTAATGCAGTTGACAGTGTGTTATGTCAACGAGGAATTAAAAGGATTAGATAACGATTTAGACAACATCACAAAATTTAAGAAAATGAATAGAAAATCTCATTTACCCATTTCATACCAATAAAACTGCATGGCCACCATCCTTGAAGAATCGAACTCTACAGTTTGGTAATGTATGGCGAAGTCGTTCCGCTTCTTCCATACTTGGTAACATTTGGTCCTTGCCACTGACATACAGATAACAACTAAGTTTCTGAGCTTGCACATGACATTAATGTTTAATACCATTAACAGAAATCATGTCATCAAATAGATTAGGAAAAAGTTTATATAAGTGCGAGGCTCTAAAGAATCAATTTAGGGCGCACCTCAAAAATTCACTAAAAGAAGTTGTTTTGAAGGCCAAAAATCTCCTCAAATTGATCATCTCGACCTCAAGATATATGGACATGAGAAAAAATGGATTTCAAGTCTTAGAAATAGTGCATCTTGTAATGCATTTTCGGACCGTCAATTTTCAAGACATTTAAGTGTTCATAGATCTGCTTAATCTACACTACTTTTGAAATTCAAAATTTTATAATTAGAGATGAAAATCAATTTTCAGACCATCACAAAGATTTCCAGCATTGAAACAGCATCTTTCAACACTATTAGAAGGAGCGCCTTACTTTGATTGTTTAGAGCCTCAGCCTCATACAAACCACACCGAATAGATTATTGTAATACTACGGTGACACAAGAATAAGTTGGTTTGAACCATCACAAGTTCCAGTAGTTACACCTAATAAAAGTCTGAACAGAGAAAAAGTGCAATATAAAAAAAATGAGGTATATTGCTTCTGATTTCAAATAGTTGAAGGATGTACTCCAGAATGAAGTGCTAATTGACAAAACTAGACATCAAGTAAAAGTGCCATTTCACAATTCAGATAAAAATATGCTTAACTCATTACTAATGCGACTGAATAACGATATTTATGTACATTGAGAATATGTCCTTGATATTTAAGAATGTGGGAATGAAGCCTTCTAATGATGATAACAAAATAAACACTAATCCCAAGAGCTGCTTTTTATTGGTCAAAACATTTCAAATTTAGATACATAACACAGTCAACCAAACAGTAATAATGGTGAATGATAGCGCATATTGGCACCCACCAGAAAAACAAGAATCAATAAAAATGTGTAGCCTGAAAATAGTGATATCAAGGGACCTTTGGTCCTGTGGTCTGAAAATTAGTTTGTATGGGATAGAGAGGATCTAAAGCATGACAAAAAAGAATTAAAGCATGATAATTCAAACATCAACTTTATTAACCAGGACAAGAACATATATGAAGGGCATAAACAAGCAATAATTTCAATTAATAATCCATAACAAGAGGTATTTCAGTAAACATATATATCCGGTTGAGTTAGAAACCTGGCGAGCACCAAAACTTCAGCTTTGACAGCATGAAGACGAGAATTGGCATAAGAGGAAGCTGATTTAAGTAGCTTTAACTTCCACGCAAGTGTTCCTTTTGGTATTATTTCTGACAAAGCCTGGTAGAAAAGACAAACAACTAGGCTGCATCAGAGAAACTGTCTTTTGACATGATATATACAGAAGTTTAGTACTCCATAGTATATCACAACATTTCAAATACTCTATTTCATAATCACCGTTTCACCATGTGAGGAGTTATCAAATTCTTCAATCTTGGCCTATAAACTCCCATCACTTTATGAAGATAGCATGAGTTTCATTGATCAAATTTGCATCCCGTCCCATACTCATTTCAGGACATATAGAAGAAGCATTTGGTCTCATTCAGGTTCATTTCACAACCAACGTTATTTCTTTGCCTCATATCAGTCGAGATGCATTATCACAAATATTTTCACAAAAACTGTAAACTAAAGCTTGACTTGTTTGTTGGTAGACAAACTCTCATTGGTTCAATTGTCAAGGCTAATTTGAGCTCTATGCAATGGTTGGTGTGGTTGAGTAGTTATATAGAGATACCTTTGTCATTTAATTGTGTGAGGGTGTTTTGGCAATTTGGTATAGAGAAAACATTATCTATACGATGTGACACCCCGATATTATGTTGTGTACATTATCTCAGAAATTATCACCAGATTGATATTTACATTTGTGTATTCCCAAAAAATTTATAACCTCCCACATCACATACAACAAAACCACCACTACTGCTAAAAAAATACTTCTTAACCGCCTCAACCTTCTTAAGTCACTAAGCTTTTCATCTTTTCCTGTAGTTCATGAGCATTACCCATAAGCAGATAAAAAGGTATGATCAGACCGCAGGTCATTTGATTTCACACAACATTCGCTCATTGCAACTAGATACATTTCAAATCATAAAATAATCATCCACGAGTTTGACGATGGCTTAAAGAAGAGCGTTTCAAGTAGTAAAGCTTTTAAACCATATGCAGTATAGTGGAGAAGCTGACTTACAACTATAACAAAGTGCATTCCTAGTGACCAATTATAGCTTCTTTTAGTTATTGAAAAAAATGATAGTTAAATGATAAAAGAACATTTTGAAGAAACTTACAAAAGCATTTTATTATGGTGAATCTAGGCCACAATTCTACATCATTACTGAATTTAGGAGGCTTCATTAAAAACACAAGGTAACTCAACATATTACAAGAAAAAGAAATGATTAAAAAACAATAAACAAGGAAATAAGTGCTGATTCAATAATTACAGAGAGACAGGGTAACAAGGCAACAAGACTGCCTGATAACTGGTCCACCATCTCTGGAGGAGAAAGCCCCTCTGGAACATCAACCATTGCCATCTTGACAGGATCACCTAAACAAGTCATTGAGAAAGTAATTACCCAAACAGCCTGGAGGTGGACGATATAAGGATGCTAAGATATAAGAAAGATACACTCCAACCATGCATTAAGATACTCAGCTCATAACTAATAAAGAACTTGTGCATAACACACTTTCATATTATGAATGGAAACTTCAATCTATGAATATAGTCCAAAAGTCATGGAGAAAATGTTATACAACACAAGAAATGGCAACCTACTGCCATTGCAGAAAACTAAGAATGAAAGAACTATCAGGCCAAGTAACAAAGGAGTATCTGCAAAAATTCATTTCTCATGAACATGAGCAGCAAAGAGTGCCCACAATGTATGCAAAAGGGAAAGTATGAAATGAGACCAATTATTTTTAGAGTCATCCCTAGCCATCATATGTGAAATCGGGTGACAGGGGGCATCCCATTGACCGTGCTCAAAGTCCAAGAAATTTTTTCTCAAACCTTGTATGGAAAAAGGACACACCCATAGCCACCCGATTTCACACCAGATGGCTAGCGGTGATTCTAACCTACTTGTATCAAAGGTAAATTGTCTTATAGTAAACAATTTAATATACAAAAATGCGAGTTAAATTGTATTTTGTAGTTCATTCATACTGAGAAAAGCAGGCAGTAGTCCATTCATAATGACAAAAACAGGCAGCTCATTTTTATCAAGTCAAGCTGAATTAGACCAAATAGAACGGCACACTTATGAAGCTCTTTCAGAGTCATGATTTTGAAGTAAAAAAATTCGGCCTGTCAACCCAGAGATGTTTGCAATTTTCACATAAAAACTAGGAAAACAGTAATAATGTTTCCAAAGATAACGGAGTTATCCCTAAACTAATCAAAAGAATCATTCAATTTCTAAATCCTATCAAGTTTTATCAGCAATTGTCCAAAGTGCCACAAAAAAGAAACAGGCGCATATAGGGATTCTGATCTAAACTGCACCCCATGTAAAAGTCCCTCTAGTTAAGTGTAAACAAATTACAAGACACAGATTAGGATGCTTTTCAAATCTATGGGCATATGATACATAAGTAAAGTAGTTCAGGATGTAAGTCCCCTCAAACAGGTAGTAGTAATCACAAGGTCGCAACAATCTCTAGCTTTGATCATTTCACGCTTATTGTGTTTGTGAATTGTTTAGTGTAAGGCCTACAATAGAGAGCAAGACTAAACATCATCAATTATGTTAAATTTTCATATTGATTTCATTCCGGCTCCATGACTAAACAAAACACAAAGCAAAGCAAAGCCTAAGTTAGTCTTCTTCTAAAAAACAAATTAGCAAAACCTCTTGAAACATATTAGTTGATGAGAGATAAGTCTAAAACCGTTAATATGCAATAATGTTGTAGGATACCAGCCTCATTTATGTAAAATACTTGCAGCCAGCTCAAATGACAATTAGAGATAATGCTACTTTATCATACACCCATTTCAAGAACATCCATTACATGCATGAGATGTTTATCATGGAGTTTTAAGTGAAAGAGTTCCAACAATATACCCATTATGGTGCTTAGAAGATATGGAATGGCACTATGTAGCTCGGCTGGTACAGCCTCAATCAAAGGTAATAGAGGTTGCAGTTGTGACTTTCCGAAGGATGTTGCTGAAACAACAGGAAATGGGTTACCATGTAATCCATATCACAAATGTAAACCCGGAAAGTGAGGTACGATCCAATGCAAAACCACATGCCAATGGAGTCACCACCATAAAAGTAAAATGAAAGACGGAAATGGAGAGACCAGAACAGGACATGACACAAACAGTGCATCCCTTTCTCTCTCCATCATCATACATCATTCATCACTGCCCATCACTTTGTCAGATGTGAATGACCCCAAGAACTAGATTTGTTTTTCATAGAGCATTGAAAAAAAGCATATGTAAACATATTTTTAAAAATAAGATAGATTCCAGACTTCTTTTTGCAAAACAAAAAGCCAAGATCATCATTTACCAGGATTGGACAGGATCAATACAAGGTCAATCGCAGGATTACGAGCCGCAACAGCTAGTGCAAGGCATCCTCCAAGAGAATCTCCGAGAAGATATATTGGTCTGTCTGGAGAGAGTGCATGCTCTAACCTCACTGTATCTTCAACAAATTTTACTAGCCCTGGATCCATGAAACCCCAATTATCCATCTAGACTAAATAACATAGAAAGAAGGTCCAGCAATGAATAACAATAAACATTGCCCAATGCAATGAGAACATAAACTGCTAAGTACAGGCACTACAATTCTTATTGCAAATAGGCATTCTCAAAGCTGTTAGAAACCCAATAAGAACTTCTTAAGAACATATCAAATTCAACATAAACTTTTCAATAATTAAATAACAGAATATAAGTAAGTCCATCCTTACATGATAATAGTAAATAAATAAATAAAAATGGCCTAATGAAGAACGCATATTTTTCTAACAGTTTTAGAAGAGTACGAATTTGTAAATTTTTACACATGTTGCCCTTTCTCAATATAATCCATGGTAGTCCATTCAAGGTGACATCAGGCCACCTGTAAACTTAGGAAAATCCATCAAACTTTGTTGCCAATTTGCCATACATTAGCTGTGAGCATCATTAGAAGCTCTTCATGAGCTACCAATGCTGCTAATGCTACCTGTAAGTTGGAACCCTCATATTTGTGTAACTTGTGCAAAATTATGCACTATTCAAAGTCCCCAAACGACTTTCTCGTTAGCCCCGAAACTGCTTTGCTTATCGCTAACAGCCTGCAATGATCCCAGCCCATTCTAGGTCAAGTCAAACGTGGACTTGATCGGGTTCTAAAGCTTGTAGCATAGTCTCCATCACACATGTCAACACTGCCCTTAAGGCAGTTCAATTTCATCAATTTGCTCAACCGAGTACTCCAACACGTAGAGAAGAACATAAGGTTAATGGAAGAAGGTGAAAAGAATATAACAGCATCCACAATATAATCAGAAGACAGAACAATAAATTTGTCATATGAACTACTAGAGAAGAATTGAGTCGCCAACCTTCAAATGGTGTTCTGTCATAAATAGGAATGTGCATGCACCTAACATCAAAAATCCTGCACTTAAAGTTAATAAGGGATTAGTTCACCTTTAATAAGCAGCCCTCATTACAAATTATTCCACCCACACTAATTCTTGCACTCAGACACAATAGTGACGTGGAGTAGTATAATGTCTTAAGCAGCCACTAATATGTATATGTACAAATTCAATTAAAAACATGAATCCCCTCTTGTGATGTGGACCATCATAACATTAATATCTTACCATATAAGAGGGAAGAACCACCATTCTTTCTACTAAAAATCAAATTAAGCACCTCTTCTCTGGTGCCAACATACCCTAAGTTGGAATTCTCCAAAGTCCAAAGTAATCCATAATTACGTGGAGAGAAGAAATATCCTAAAATGAGTAACCAATGGCCGAAAAGGATTAGAATACCCATATGCTACTCTGGCTTGCAAGAACATTCTATTCATTTTCACAGTCAAATGTGGATTGCCTTTTTAAATATTCATTTCATAGCAATATGCGTTTGTACCCAAAGCAAATTTTGAGAAACCTCAGAGTTCATTTATACATCAAAGAGCATACATCTCACAACTCCAAGACAGAGAAGCCATTTAATTCTAGAGTTAAAGAACCCAGTAAATAAACTCACTTAAGGAACATAAAACATGAGAGCGCCGATGCATGCATGCATCTATATGTATACATAAATACATATCGACATACAAGCATACATACATAAATACAAACACACATAACCATAATGTAAGCCATAGGCACAAAAAACAAATGAGAATAGACATAGACAAATACCCATATGCATATATAGCATGAGCGTAACCACATGCATATATAAGCCTACATGCATATACACCTACACGCACATACACACCGCTGCACACCTATACTTAGTTGTGAAATTGTGAATGCATCTATGTAGTTTTGTAGGTACCTACATATATATAAACAAGAAAAAAAACATGCATTGACATAGACTGTAGTTTTGTACTTTTGTACATAGGTACCCACGTATGTATACTGAAAAGCAACACAAACGCACAAACCCTTACCTCCCAAGAGCTTGATGATGCAGTATGAGCCCCAAACCAGTGCCATCCATTCCTACGATATTAAATTTCAAATAATCATATTCGATTAAGGAGCATCAAACCATTAATGGAACAGGACAAGAATTACAGCAAAAAAACCATAAAATTTTCTCAATTCACCAGCATTGTTTTGAGCCAACAAGTAGCTTGAATAATCGGCAAAAGAAAGAGCTCAAAGCAAATAGACTAAGGGCATTCACCACATGAGCCATGAACATCATTTGGCAAAGGGGTGCGGTTTCTATAGAGTTGAGGCTCTAAACAATCAAAGTAAAGCGCACTTTCAAATAGTGTCGAGAAATGTGGTTTCAATGTTGGAAATCTTTGTAATAGCCTTAAAATATATTTTCATCTTTAATTATAAAATTTAAATCTTCAAAAATAGTGTAGATCGAGCAAATCTATAAAAACTTGAAAATCTTGAAAATTGACAGTCCAAAAATACGTTACAAGATGCACTATTTTCAAAACTTGAAATCCATTTTTTTCTCATGTCCATGCATCTTGATGTCGAGATGATCAATTTGACGATATTTGGGGCATCAAAACCACCTATTCTAGTGAAATTTTTGAGGTGGGCTCTCATTTGATTGTTTAGAGCCTCGGCTCTATATAAACTTTCTCCTTTGGCAAAAAAGCAACTATTTGATTCAAGTCGAGAGTTATTAAGTATTGCCTTCTATAAATTCTCCATCCCCGAAAAAAAACAAGAAAAATAAAATAAAAAAGGCCAACCTACATTTACACTGATTGTTGGCTTTCATCCAAAAAGTTGACAACAAACAAGCACAATAATGAAAAGCAGGTATTCCATCTAAAATATAATTATGGAGCAAGAATAACCACACAAGAACTAAAAAACAACTACATTAAACAATAAACAAACACTTAACAAAAGACATCAACAAACATGTATTGATGTCCATAAATAAAATGCTCCGTAACATGTACCAGGCAGAAAGAGCAAAACCGGAGAATCCTTCATTGGACACCCACATTCAATAGGGGTAAACCAGCGAGGTGGTCCACCATCCGGCCTGGTAAACTCCTTCGACCTATCGAAAAAGTCTTTCACACTTTGAACTTCCCAGCTAAGATCATCTTCTAACAATTCCAACCCCCTAACACCACTCTCCACTTTCAACTCTTTATCCTTTCCCTCTCCTTCCCTTTCAGACACAACTCTCGCATTGCCTTCAAACCCAATCAACTTCTCTTCCTTATTCTCTTTTTCCAAAGACAAAGTGGTGGATCGCCCATCCACCAAAGCATTACTCCCTGTCTTTGAAATCGAATATCGATTTCTACTCGAAAATAAAGGATTAAAACTGGGAATAAGATTGAACCCACATGGATTAGAAAAGTATTCCAAAACCCTGATCCCAATTGGAGCATGAGGAGTACCAAGGGCCATCGTTGGTGCCATTTAGGCCGCAAGAATGCCTATTCAACAGCAAAAAATCGTAATGTCAATCTAAAACAAGATAAAACAGCACCCCAAAGTATCAATCCAGCAGTTCAAAGCCTAAGTTCCAATTTAATCCAAAAAAAAATCCCCCTATTCACTTCATGCCTTCTCCTCCCCGTGCAAATTTAACAGTATAACATGAACTAAAATGAAAACAAAGGACTAGTGAGAGAAAGAGCAGTCACAAACTCCCTTAAATAGAGTAGTCAGTCGACAACCAAAAAAACACTAAAAAGAGTTGACCTCATGCTTTTCAGACCACACAGCACCACCACTACGCAATGTCCTTAATTTTTAAAGATGCGTATTGAATGCAAAAACCTTAGAGAGAGAAAATGGTAAGATGACTATTCAAAGAAAATATGAATGTCTGAATTGGGGATTCATGCACCTAAAATTATTAAGAGAAAAATCAGATAATAACCTTACAATTGGATGAATGGAAAACAAAATTGGGGCTTCGTCATAACTGTCTGGTCAGAACAACCCAATGTGAAAAAATTAATAATAGAATGGGGGATTTTAGAGTGAGAGAGCTCACTCTCTTTCTTGTCGTGTAGGGAGAGAAGGACCAAGAAAAATATTATTACCTGAATAGAAAATGAGCGGTTTGGACAGAGGCTCTGCATCGCTCCTTTCGGGACATGTGTATGCTGTCCTCCTCTAAGACCACCCATTTTACATTTACAGAGAAAATATGAAAATATTTTAGAGAGAGAGAGAGAGAGCGAGAGAGAGCACGAGTTCTTGGACCAAACACAACAATAGAAGGTGCCGTGACAAAACGAACCTGCCAATACCAGAGCAGCAAACAAATAACCCCTCTCTCTCCCAGCGTTTGTTTCTCTCTCTAAATGACAAGGACTGCGACGGGTGCCGAGTCCCCCCTCGTTGGGTTGGCGACAAAAGCCTCCCTCTCTCTCTCTTCGGATTTCTCATGGGTAGAGCAGTGATTTTCTCTCTCCTCTTTCAATCGCTAAATAATTAATGTGTGCCGTGCCGTCTCGTCTTTTGAAAGGCACATTAGTGGGAACTGTCTCTCTCTTTAATGGGTGGCTTTTTTGTCTTGGCTCAAGCTTATACGGAGCCGAGCCCCTATACAATCAAATTTAAACCTACTTCACAAATTTTACTAGAGGTGGATGCTCTTCCTCTCAAATATTTTCAAATTGATTATCTCGACATCAATATGTATATACATGAAAAAAAATGGATTTTAATTATTAAAATTGTGTATTTTGTAAGTATTTTTGAACCGTCAATTTTTAAAATTGTCAAGTTTTCATAGATCTATCGACCTATACTATTTTTGAAGCTTTAAACTTTATAAATAAATATAAAAATATATTTTAAAGCTAACACAAATATTTTCAGTGGTGAAACTATATTTTTTTGACACTATTTGAAATTTTTTTGATACTATTTGAAGGTAGGCTCTAATTTGATTGTTTAGAACCTAGGCTCCATACAAACTACACCCTTTGTTTTTGTCACTTATTTTCTTGGCCTTTTTTTTCTCACAAATAATGCAGTGGCCATCTTTTGAAAGCGAATGACCGGGAACTGGCTCTCCGGGTGGTTTTTTTCTACCTCTTTAATGGGCTTTTTTGGTCCATGGAAAGCTAACGACTGGTTTAAAGGAGGATTAAAAGAAAACACATAACCTTAATAAAAAATAAATTTTAAAAAATCGATTTTTAAATTAAAATGAGTATTAATGATCAAAATTATTTTTAATTTTTACTATAATATAAAAAATACATTATTGATCAATTTTTTTATTTTTAAAAACTTCTCAATATATTTTTAATACCGATCGAACTGAAACATCTAACAGAGTTGTTAGTAGCTAGATCGCCCCATGGGAAGGTGGAAAAAAAAGGGGTAAAAATTGAACCTTGGATTTGGTGATGTAAATCCGTAGGCGCTAACAGCCCCGGTACTCTCTAAAAAATCAAAGAGCGAAATTACAAGTGAGTCCAAGTTGTAAGCCATTTGCCGTTCTTATTGAAAATGCCACAAAAGGATGTCGGAAACGTGTTCTCAATCACTTCGCCTTCAATGTAACATTTATGGTGCCGTTGGCAAACGGAATAATCATGTACTATTTTCGTAGGAGTAGAGGTACGGTACCCCTTTAAATTTTATCATGTGCGTAGGTTTGATCTAGTATGTTACGAGAAAAATTTTTATTTTTCTCCAGAAGTCCAATCATCTTTTTACTATCTGACCGTTCAATTTTGATTAAGGGAGTTATTCATCGTTTAATCTTAGATCTGGCATCTTAAAGTATTTTATTTTTAATTTTTTTATATTAATTGTATGAATATGAAATTTGATACGTGTCGTTGGGATGCACCTATAAAAAATATTAAAAATAGTTTTTTGATAGACCAAAATACCTCTTGAAACTTTCAAAAGTATTTTGATCATTTTATTTTATTGAAAATATTTTTTTTTATTTTTCATTAGTCCAAGTTTAATAGAGGAATGGACATCCAAAATTTAGTGTCAAAATAGTTTATAGAAAAAAAAAATAAAAAAAAAATAGTGTAGAGACGTGACATTGTGATTGGGACAATCTTAGCCCTCCATTCAGAATGGACGGTTGGATAAAGGGGAAGATAGAACTTCTATGTTGTAGGGGAAGCATAGAAAGTTGGCCCATATATTATTAGGATTATCTCAAAATCTATTTTTATATCTAATTATAAAATTTTAAATTTAATAACTGGTTAAAATCAAGTAGAACTATAAAAATATGAAAATCTTTAAAATTGACGGTGTAGATAATATGTTGTAAAATACACTATTTCTGATACTTAAAATCTTTTTATTTTTCTCAGTGATACATCTCGATGATGATCGGCCAAAGGAATTTTTTAGGGGCATCCGTAGTTCTACATTATAAGGTAACATCCCTATATAAACTTTTTCCAACATTTATTTATGGGTGTGGTTTCTTTAAGGTTGCAACTTTAAGCGATTCATGGCCCACTTCCAAATTTTATCACAACATGTAATTTTGATGTAAATTATTTTTAAGATTATCCGTAAATCTATTTTTATATTTAATTATAAATTTTAAATTTCAAAAATGATTAAAATCAAGTAGATCTATAAACATATGAAAATCTTAAAAATGGACGGTCTAGATAATGTGTTGCAAGATGTACTATTTATGAAACTCGATATCTTTTTTCTTATCATATTCATACATCTCGATGTCGAGATGATCAATTAGAAGGTTTTTCAATATTAAAACAACATTTTTCAATAGATTTTTGAGGTACATCTTTAATTCTACATTCTAAGGTTGCAACCTTATATAAAAATTTTCCTTCATTATTTTTGCACGTAGAAACAGCAATATATGAGAACTCTTTCTCATGTTGCGTGACCTTATATAGAAGATCCAAATCACTTATATTAGGGTGTGATTTGTATAAGGCTCCGGCCCTATACAATCAAAGTAAGACATACCTTCAAATAATATTGAAAGATGTTTCAGTGCTAAAAATCTCTGGGATGGCTTGAAAATTTGTTTTCATTTCTAATTATAAAATTTAAAGCTTTAAAAATAGTGTAGATTAAGCATATCTATAGTCACTTAAAAATTGACGGTCCAAAAATTTTCATTACAAGATGCACTATTTTTAATACTTGAAATCTATTCTTTATCATCTCTATACATCTTGAGGTCGAGGTGCTTGATTTGAGGATTCTTAAGCATCGAAAGAACCTGTTTTAGTAAATTTTTGAGGTGTGCCTTAGTTTGATTGTTTAGGGCCTCAACCTTATATAAACCTTTACCTTTATATTATAATTTAAAAAGGGCTAGATAAGCTTTTCTCAACTATGGTGACTTTATGTGAAAAAAGACGCCACGTGAATCCAACTCCACATCTTATCTTTCTTTTCTTTTCTTTTTCTTCCAATTTTTTTTTTTTTAAGAAATGAGAAAAAATATATTTATTAGAAGCAAACATTAGTTATGCCTTTTGGAGAAGGGAATAAGAGGACATAGAATGGAATATGGGCAACCTTTATTTGCTTTTCCTACTGCATAAAACTTCTATATTTCTCACTATCCAATTGGCCCTTCTAAATGGACAACTTAGATGGCCCCAATTACAATGTCACTCTCCATACTATTTTATTTTTTATTTTTTTATAAAAACATTTTGACACCAATTTTTGAGCCTTATGGTCACTATATTCTATCAAAAATATTTTTTAATATTTTATTTAAGGGCGCCGCATTGAGATGATAGCAAATGATTAATGGCTCACTTGACCTAAATTGGACAGTTGGATGAAAGGAGAAGTTATATCTTTTATGTTGTAGGGGAAGCATAAAAATCTTTCCCATGTAATATTGGAATGGATTACTTATTAAACACAATCATGCTCCCTTTTTCGACATCCGCTGTGAACTGGAAATCACAATCATGCTCCCTTTTTTGACATCCGCCGTGAATTGGAAATCACAATCATGCTCCCTTTTTCGACATCCGCCGTGAATTGGAAATTGAGGATGGAGATCAGCCCATAGAGAAAGACAAGAAACCCTTTACATTTCTTCTCGAAATGTAAGGGGTTTGGGTGATGGCGGAACTGGTTGGTCATGAGAAACCAAATACCTGCTCCAAGTAAAGAGCTTTTCTCCACCGTGTGATCGGCACCCTATTCGTGGTAGAAATGCAGTTTAGTTTATTGGTGTCCCAAGTGTAGGGACTTTTGGTGAAATGGGTCCTAGGAACCTTGACAGCTTGATTTTTTTTTGTAGGCAAGTGGTTGAGATAGTGCACACTGAGGGCTCGGAAATGGATTTAAAATGGGGACACGGTTTCTATGAGTCCATGTAGAAATGAGTTACCTCTTAAAAATTTATTTTTGAGATTGATTTTTTTATTTAATTTTTAAGGATATGTAATCTCTAACATGAAGATCATGAGTATGAAAAAATAAATAAATTTTAAAAATTAAAAGTAATAATTCTATTAAGAAAACATTTGGATCATTAGTTTCAATTGTTTTTAGATGGACCACATATTTGAATCCATCTTTAAAATGGATGCTTTATACCTCAAATACCACAAATGCAAAAATGCCGCCCCTCCCGCATTAAACAATTTTCTTTAAAATGGGCTCTTTCTTGTGTATATGGGCCCAACGTCCCCTCTGAAAGTGATCTCTTTTGGAACAATAATATGAACTCTTTTATCATCTTCAGGTCGTCAATAGCGTATTAAGGCAGCCAGAGGAATCAAATTCAATACTCCTACTACTCCTTTCAGTGACTTAGCTTTCGATAAAAATCCTTTGTGAAAAACTTTTTTATTTTTTATTTTTTATTTGTTAATAGTGGAAATAGAAGGTGGGACGTAATGTTGAGGCATCTGCCTCAACTGATAGCGGTCTGATACCCAAACCGCTATCAGTTGAAGCATCAGCCCCCTAAACCACCAATACCCAAACCCTACTCCCTATATCAGTTCAGTGTTTTTGAAAAAG